AAACAAACCAAAAAAACTGTATTACACAAATGTCAATATAATATAAAACATATATAACATATATAATATAACTTTTCATCCGCTCATACAAAAGGGAGCGCTAAACTGACAGCCGCAATATATTCCAGCAGGTAAGAAAAAGCTGCCCTGCCAGTCGCTCTCTCCTTGCCAAGGCACCGCACTCCCTCCTTAATCATAGTTTTCATATCTTTACATTGAAAATTTGTTTCCCAAGGACAATGTCATAAACTTGCTGTTTTCTGAGATTTTTACCTGCCAGTGCTGCTCTCCCTAACTTTACACATTTGGAAGGTTGATGGAGATGGGGGAATAGGGGTGCTGAAAGGTAAGGGAGGGGGGTAAACACAGAGGCATTGTTCACTGAGAATTTGTAATGATTTGTAACACAGAGAGAAAGGTGGAGCTACTAACACTGTATGTGAATTTGTATGAGTTGGCACTGCAATAGAGTCTCAGGAGGAGCATTTATTAAGCAGGGCAGGTGAACTCCCCAAATGAACAGTAAAATAAATGTCTGCGTATTGTCACAAAATGATAAAGAGATGGGTATTGTTACATAGTGCCGCTACAGTGTGCCCACTGTCAAAATAAGGACTCTGGTGACGCATGACTAGGTTTTTGTGGAGGTCTTATGTAAGTAAATTATTAATTAATTAAAGCAAAACAGCCTTTTTGTGCAAAGTATACACCAATGAAATTTGCTGAAATTACCAGCTTCACTGAGCAGTACTTCGATTTAGGGGTTCAACTGACAGTTATTTCCAATTCAATTCATTATCAGTTAATCTGTAGATCATTAGTTTAGTTTTTTGATCCATGAAATGTCATAAAATGTTGATTACTGTTTCCCAAAGCCCAAGGTGACGTCTCAGATTTCTTGTTTTGTCCACAACCCAAAGATATTCAGTTTACTGTCACAGAGGATGCAGCTGTACTTGGTTATGTGTCTTGAAAAACTATACATAACCTTCATTGTAGCAGGGATATTGAAATCATGCTTGTAGAAGTAGAAACAGTAAAGTAGCATTCTGTACTGCTTAAAAATAATGTACAACTTTACATCGGTGGTAAAAAATAAAATATAATATGCTGCCCATTATATGCTGCCACTGAATACTGTAACTGAAAGGTCACTTCCTTAATTATTGCAGCTACAAGTACATCCATCAACAGCCTTGTGTTCTGTGGAAAGTATCCTTCACCTAAAGACTGAACTTCTACGTGCTCATTCACTTGTCTAATATGCGAAAGACTCAATTCTGTCCTCTTGGAACTGATGCAGTTAACTGAAAATGGAAATCCAAATTGCATTTTACTTAATAATACAAGAGCTGTAAGTCTAAATAGATATGAGATCTCTAGCTTTTAACATTTGAGGGGAAAAACATTCACATATATTGAAGCTATTCAGTTTACACACTCAAATAAAGCTTTTACCAGTGGTTGATGGATCACCTTAAACATTTAATGCACTTACAGTTGATGCTTTTAGGGAGAGTGAGTTACAAGGACAGCAGACGTAGAGTCCTCCAAAAGGAGGTTGTCAACATCAAAAACCACTAGTAGTTAACGGCACTAGGGTTGTAACCACAGCATCCTGGTTTAATTGAACTGACTTAGAGTTCTTGTAAGTAAATCAATCTTTGACTTTGATTTGTTCTTTTTGCTTTCTCAGACAAAGCTCTCAGTATCTGATAAGAAGGAACACCCTTGTTAATTGAAACAAATGCTATTTTCTGTCTTGCATTGTAGCATAGTACATCTCTCTTGGGTGATAATGTTTTTGGTCAAACACAATGTTTGTTGGTTTTAACTTTTTAAACATACAATTGTTCCCTAATTAGCTGGATGCTAATTAATTTATGCTCCCCTGTTTGATGTACAGTATTGCAATACTTTGAAAGCAACTGTGTTCATTCTTTGCATAAATTTGTAGCATTTGCCGCTGAGTTCAAAAGAAACAGGACTGGGTTTAGAAAAGCACACATGCTTTTAAATAATGCGCCCCATTTTTGTCTCTGTTTGTTTTTAGTGGGAACATTAATGAATTAACATTTTAAACAATCTATCATTATTGTTGTGCTGCCACTTATTTTTAACTCAATTATATTTTAATAGATCATTTTTCCTAATGTGCACAGTATGTTCTCCCCACTTTGTTCGCTACACAACAAAAGATTAATTACAAATAAGAGGAATGATCAAAAACATGATAATCAAATTGCAACAGTAAGTTAGAAATTGCAATTCTAATGCAATACAATAGGGTATGTGTGGCAAATTAACCACCCACTGTCTGTTATTGTGTGTGTTTATGTTTGTGTAAAAAGAGTATATGACAACATGTTTTAGTATGTTAAACTCTATATACAATACTTTGCCTGTGCTTTTAAATAATTTAAATTAATTAATTAAAAAATCATATTTGATTATATTTTATTGTTTAAATCCGTTTATTAATTTAAGTTCTAGTTATAATAATGACACTTGCAGCACTTGATACACATTGTAGGTGACATGTGCTTAGTAGGTTTATGTGACTTTAAACTATTAAATGGAATACTTACTTAACTGTTACAGTAAGCCTATATCACATACAAAAGTGACAGAGGAGCCAACATCCTTGATGACAGCTAGGAGTTTATTCCAAAGACTGCAATTTGAAGAACTTCACAAACTGCTCGCAGACTCATCAGGACCACCTCAATAATTTCAAACAATTGATATTTAGGAGTTAAAATCTGGATGATCACATCAGTACGACAAAAGGAGACAGACGAGTGTACAAGGAGACGTAAGGCGTTACGGGATAATGTTGGTCCCGGAGTAGGTGACGGTGTTGCCAAGCAATGGTAAACATTCTACCTCTTGACGCTAATATTAGCTAGCATACCACTGTTGACAGATACTAAAAAATTACAATTAAAATCTACTCAATAGACAACTCGTGTTGACAGCAACCATTGTCCCATCCAGACTTCTTTAGCCTTCTGCTTTTGTTTTTTTTCTTCTGCTTCTTCTTCAGTTCACGTGAGATCACTTATCCTGTAGCATGTTATTCTCTTCAAATCTTGTGTGTCTGCATGTTTGAGATTAGAGACAAGAACATCTGTAAAGTTTCCGTGCATGATGCAACAATGATAACATGCCAGTAAAAATATGTCACCTTGCCTATAAAACACAGCTTTGTTATTGATATTTTTAGCTTGAGAAAAGGCTTTGTAACTTATGCAGACAAAACATTTTGTTTCAATGGGATTGTTCTTTTGCAGTGCCATCCTCTCTTACTGAGCATTTGAAACTTTGAATAGTCATGTGACTTGCTTGAGTGGGCGTGTTATCTCTCGTATTGGTAAGCAACCTTGTCACTCCTCTCATGGTTATATTGTGCTATGTAGCAGCATTTATTTTGTTTTGTTTTTCTTAAATCAATCACTTTCAGTACTGTATTAGGTTGTGGCCAAGGCAATTGAAAGTAAGAATTGTAGAAATATAATTCCAGGTCTAAGATCTCAGCTTGAGATCCCTTGTTATGCCTGTTGTCTTCAGCATGTCAGAGACCAGCAGAATTGTCAGTTTAAAGAGGATGGATGTCCTAAGGTGTCACCTGACAGCCCGACAGGGCAATTCAGTCCTTGGAGGACAGGAGAGCAGCCAGTAGGAGGTGAATGGGCAGTAGCTTGGGCTAGAGGTCGTCATTGTCGGCCATCGTCGGCCTGTCACTCTGGATATGCTCCCAAATCATGTTGTCAATGGTGATGCATTGAGATCTCCCTCTGGCAAAAATTGGATGCTCCAAACTCAACTTGATTGATGCATTGACCAGGTTGTGCCTGCCTGTCCTCAGGATGTGTCCTTACCTTTGTTTAAAGATGAAGCAACACAGATGTGCTAAGCGGCGAAAGGAGAAACATGTACTTTTAAAAGTTTTTTTGTGTTAGCCAGAGCCACATCAATGTACTGTTGGCTTATCAAAGAACGTACTGTATCTATCAGCCTTGAAATTTATAGGATTTTACCTGCCTTTTCATTTTTTTCAGTACATGTTTTTGTGGCACAGTTCAATCGGTGTGCTGAGAATGTTGTTCTCACTGTTTCCTTTGAGGCAACAATATTACATTATGGCCTGAAGGCGAATGCACAGCTTGTACATTCAATGGATGCCACAATGGATTGGAATGAAAAATATCTGTTTTTCTGTGACCAAAAGTGCAGCCTTTATGCATCCAAGGGCATGGCATTCTTGGGCCCTGGGTACTAGCCGTGGAGTTTTGTGAACATGAAATATCTTCTTTTATGTGTCATTTTTTTCATTATGCTCCCTCTGTCTCTCTCTTTCTCTTCTTTCCTCCAATGGTTTTCCTTGATAGCCTCGTCTGGCCTGAGTTGCTCTCTTTAAGTGCTGTGTGTGTGTGTAAATGTGTCTCTTAAAATGTGTATGTGTTCAAATTGTCTATTATCCTAAATCCTAAATGCATGGACTTGTGTCACTATGTTTATGCATTTGAGCTTTAACTCTGTGTGTGGATGTTTGTTGGTACTCAATCATATATGTACGTGTGTGTTTCTGTGTTGAAGAACACAGACTGAACATAGGCACTTGAGATTTTCTATTTCGATAAAGCTGTGTGGAACCTTGGGTTTGAATCTTTGATGACTTAGTGGGGGCTGGAACAAGGAGCATGAGTATTGTAGGCAAAACAAACGCAAGCTGAGCCTTACGGAGGTGGCCCAGTTTGGAGAAGTTGTACTCTTTTTAAGTCCTGCTTCTTCTCATTACTTTTCACAACATTCTGCTTCAGCTCTCGGTAGCCGGGATAGAGTATGAATCAACCTAACCTGTACGTGTTGCTCCACTCATTACTTTTGATCTCGCTTTTTACAATAGGATAAGAGAGAAAACAACTGTAACAACTTTGTCCTCCTCTTTCTCTCTCTCCCTTTTCTCTCTCTCTCTCTTTCTTTGTCTGTGTTTGCAGGGCCTGTTCATCTTCCTGATATATGGGGTGTACAACACAGAGGTAGGTCTGCATTGTGTCTCAAGGCTGTCGGAGTGAATGAGAGAAATGACAAGTTTCTGATGGGCTCCCTGCTTAAAAGCTGTGTGGGTGGGGTGTGAGAGAACGGGTGTGTATGTGTGCGAACGTGTGTCTGGGTGGGAGGAGGGATGGGAAGGAGGGGAGGTGACATCGTTTCCACGCAAGCGTCCCACTGCCCTTCATGCTTGGACTAACTTATATGCATCCGAGTCCGACCATTAAACACTGACACGCCGCGGTTCTCAGCCACTCATTCCTCACCCACATTGGCTAATATTTCACTGCCTCTTTAAGTTTTTAAACTCACGGCCCTCCATTTAGCATCCTGACAAAGCCGCTGGCCAGGGCTTCGCTGGGCCCCAAGTGGTAACCATAGTAGGAACAAAAAAAAAAAAAAAAGATGAGCCAACACATGTTCACACAAAACCAAAGCCAAATATTCAGCTGAACTAATAAGTTTTATCCCTGACCCGTTCTTTAACATCAGCGCTTTCCCAAAAACTGAGGTCACTGGCCCGTTTTATTGGTTAACACATACACCAGCCATGCTTTAATATGTGATCACCATTTTCCGTATTACAAATAGAAGTAAAGCAAGAGATGATGTCTGTAAGATTGTTTGAAGTTTGAAGGAAGCTAGTTGACCGTCGCAGCAATCCCGTGCAGCCATCAGACAAATCCAATCAGATATCATTCAATTGATGTTTTCAGCAATAAAGCAGAACAAAATACGATTAAAACAAAAAAGCAAAAAAGTTGCAGTGCAAGTTCGTTTATGAGTTCTGTTGAGAAAGAAATGTCATTATTTCATACCACTTTTAAATTCATAGTTTGTTTGTGTTATCAGTAGTTTCATTAATGTAGATGCCATGGCATCCATGAGGAATATTTCTCTTTTGGGCTTCGAGCTGTAAAAGTTTGGGACTCCTGTTTTCAACACGCATTGCAACATTTTAAAATATTCTCCACTTTCTAAACTATCTTGCACATGGAAAGACAACAGTTATTGGCAAATAAAACTATGAATAAGGCAACTTAAAATACAGTTAACAGACGAGCAAACATGATTTTCAGGTCTTTGAATGTGCGATCCACTAAACCAGACCTCCACACCCCCTCACTTCGGCCTCCACTGGAATGTAGGGCACACCGCTTCCTGCTTTTGCACTGAACACTTGGACATAAATCTATGAAGGTCAGCACATTTAACCAAGTGACCCTATTCTCGAGGGATTCTGGGCTGATCTATTTATCTCTGTCTGTCTATGTAACTGCCCTAGTAGGCCGAGTTTGGGAAGCAGCTCTGTTAGACCGTGCAACCCTTCACCAGCTGCATAATCCTTCCAAAATTAGGCCAATTGACCCTTCCCTAAATTCCCACCCTTTTTTGCTCTGTGCTCCATATAACAGTTGAGCAACACCCTCGATTCAACTTCCTCCTTTCCTGTACTTAGATTATGCCTATGTATTCACATCCCTGCTGTTTTCAGCCCTCTTTTGCAACTGGCTCCCCAGTATAAGTTTAGAATTGATT